TAGCGTGCTCACTTCTACATGGATTATTGTAAGGTCTCAAAATGAATAACGAGGAAGACGATGTGCTATCTTGTCTAGCTGTTCGAATGGAAAGCTGCATGATTGCCCTGAAACAAGTGGGCTAAACGGCTGACAGTAATTCTCCTATCATATTGGAGCGGAAGGGTTATCATATTCTTTGCAACACAAGTGGGCAGAGACCGTTGACGAATTGCTTAAAGCGACAAGAAGCCGAATTATATCGAACTGACCGATTTCATATCTGCAATGGCTAGAGTAGCACGGAGTCGATTGGGGCATCTTTCGGACCGAAACAGAAGTAGTAGTGACCAAGCGAGGCCTAAGCACTAAACATGAACCGGTCGACGAGGGTCAAGCGTGGCAAATAGGTTTCAGACCAATAGTGCAAGCGTAGGATGTTTACCAGTCGGACATAAAGAACGAATCGAGTATGCTCTACTAGATAATGGATCCGACAGGACGCCCATGATGGGTGCACCTCACCAATTGGGGTTAAACAAACTAAGAAACCAACTGAAGATAAACACACTTGGTGGATTAACCGAGACAAACCTTTTCAGCGATGTTTTTCAGGTATTGCTTCTGAATGAAAAGGATTCAGTAGGTGTCGAGAAAGCTGTGGTTATAAGAGACTTACTCGTTTCTGAACCGATTAGAGGCATCTGAAAGAATGAAAAATGATCTCACTTGGCAGACCTTCCAGTACAAATCATTGATAAAGAAGTTCTGTTATTGATAGGATGCGGCACACCAGAAGCTCATTGGCTACTCGATAAAGGCTCGGCGTTCGAAAGAATCCTTACGCAATTAGGTTGGGTGATTTTCGGACCTTCAAGTCTTGCGTCGTATAATGCACCAGGTGATGAGAATGTACGATGCAGAATATAGAGATACCCAGTTATTAGATACAGGCGTTTCGGTAGATGATATGGAGGCATCGCTGTTGTAGAGTCGGATACGAGGTTCGTGGTCTTTCTGCCGTGGAAGAAGGATGTCAAAACAAGTATGGGAAACTACGCGTCGGTGCTCACCAGGTTGATTAGCTTGAAGCAGCGCGCGAAGCGTTACGGTTTTGTTTCGTAAAGACGACTATAGACGGGAGATGCAGTGCCAGTCCAACATCATGCGGTATTGAACCCAAAGAAGCCGGAAAAGCTACATACTGTTTTGGATTGCGCGGCCAAACACAAGGGGAAATCATTGAACGACATGCTTTATCAAGGTCCAGACACCATTACCAATTTAGTGCGTATACTTTTGCGATTCCGCAAGGAACGTGTAGCTGTTACAGCTGATATAAAAGTATTTACGCAAATGAAGGTGCTAAAATTCATAGAGGTGCTTTGAGGTTTCTCTGGTGGCCACGGTGTGGTACATCAAAAGATCCTGAGTAATACCAAACGAAAGCTTACCCGTTTGGGACAACTTCACTGTTTTGTGTTAATTTGGTTTTCAACATGACTCCACGAGCATTCGGTAATGGTTATGGACGAGCAGTGCTAGATGCCATAGAAGAAAACGTTGACATTGATGATTGTCTTGCTTCGTTTACGACTGTTGTGGCCTGCGGTTGAGTGAAACGTTTACCGCGCATCACGTGATTGACCGTTGCGGCCGGTCACCACACGCACGTCATGCGGACTTACCCTGTTACAAGATCGATCCACCTCAGCGAATCAGAGGTCAGTATTGATCTCTCCTCATTGATTGATTCGTTGACTGTCCAGCGTGACAACACTCCTTTCGGTAAGACTTGCGCCAGTTTCTGTGCCTGCCTGTCTGCGTGTTGACGCACTGCTTGCTTACCGGCTACGTTTGCGTTCACATACTGGAAATATAACCACTACTTGCCTACTTATTGACTCATACGGGATACAACAACGACAAATGCCGAGGCTTTACTTTTTGTGGGGGAAATAACTAACTACTGAGGCGAGGTGGTTTTAAACAGGGGAGAGGGTCACCTAAGTCAGCGGGGTTTGTAGACTCCTTTTCGATTCTAGTTATCAGAAAGAGTTAGTTGACTGAACGGATATAGCCGAGGACTCTTGGATCAGCTCGGACCAGGAAAATCGCGTTTTGGTCGTTTTCCAGACTCGCTCAGGCAAATACCTTAGATCAGTCGAGTGTTGGCACAAAGTCATCATCGCGTAAAGTATTTGCAATCCGAACTGCCCGGATGGTACATATTATATTATATTATATTTTCATACACGTCTAAATCCAGACGTGTGCCAAACAAATCATGGCACAATAATCTTTATGAAAAAGAAAAAAAGTTCCATGATTTGCATGTGGGCAAAATACTACCAGGTTGCCCAGGCCAAGACAGGTGAATTTTCTAGGGGAATCCACAACCGGAGTCTTTGGTTAACCAAAGCCTGACCCGCAAGGCAGCGGGGCGGTGTGCGAAAACCACAATCCACTGGGGGCCGGTGTCCAGTTCGCCAGATCATACGCCCTTTGGACGAGGCCAAAGGTCCAAGGTGCCCATACATTTCCATGCCCGATCGAGCTGGTGACCACAGCCGCCCCAACCGGGACGGTGTGTGGTTCGGATGTTGCATTATTCTAAAACTAATTCCTCCGCGCGATGATTCTCTTCCAACGCTTGGGCAGCGTAAGATTATTAACTTATCCTTCTCCTATGCCGATCCGAGAATCACACGATCGATCGGTCTGATGGTTCAGCTGCAACAAGGGATGTGATGCTTGCCCAAACAAACCGGGCGAGAACACATACCTTGTCCACCACCTCGAGTCTCAAGGATGCACAGTGAACTACAACTGTGCCTGCAGGACTGTTAGCATCACACGGCTGGACTACGAGTGACAAAAACAGTATCATAGACATTGCGAGTCGGTGATAAGACGGTCTAGTGTCAGGTTGGAGGACTCCAAGTTGCGCAACTCACGGAAAATGATCCAATCAGATCAGAAAGAGGGCCAGAGGGAATTTAATTGTTTGAGGTCACGGGTGAGAGAGACAAGACGATGCGAAACGACGGAGCAATCGCCCTATATATATTTTACAATAAGTTGTATATGAATGACTCAAGATAATTTACCTGGAAGCACACGACCGGTTTCGCTGTTCTTGCCGCACGTCAAGCATATGTATCCGGTAATCTTTTGTCACTTCATTATTACACCTGTACCCAGGTAGTGTGTTTTCATCACAATAACTTTATTTGGAACAGTGGGTAAATGTGTTTGAACAGGTCTTTTAGAACCAGTCCATTGGAGTATCCATGCTATGATTCGACGTTTTGTAGGTGGGCTAGATGCTACTAACCGCAACAAACGTGACTACAGACATCAAATCATAGTAATGATTTACAAATTGAGATGTTCTGAAACCTTAGAGTATCAAGCTTGGATTAGCTCATTCGATTTTTCAGAGGCACCAGACACTCTTGATGGTCTTGGATGTGGGTTTCACTCCTTGGGAGATGGTTAATTCCCCAACCGTGCAGCTGAAGGGTTTGAAGTCCCAGCCCGAAGAATCGCGGTATGAGTCTTGATAGAGACACAAAAAGTACGCACTGCTGACGAGTCCTAAACAGGACGAAACAGCTGTCCAGTGCTCTGTGGTGGTTATAACAAACACTTCCATCGCATTTGTTCTGAAAGCTCTCCAAACAAATTTAACCGGTGTTCCAAATGAGGTTACTGCGACAAATATGATACATATATCTATATATATACATATATATATAGTAGTGGAGTGTACTAAAAGTACATAACATTGTATACGTAACTTTGAGGTCAATAGAAATGCTGCCAATTCATTGACTTGAGGTTTAGTCATTCATCATCATCATCATCGTACAGTGAAATACAGTGAAGCGAACTTCACTGATCGCTGTCAAACTCGCAATGCATACAAGGTTAGTGATAAAATTTAGGGTGGACAGCGATTGGACCTACTTTGAGGGAGGGGAAGAAGGAGAGCCACCATGGTCAACACAGTGCACAATCAAACTCCGCATACATACCGTTTCAAGCATTCTGGACTCATAAAAAATGACAAGAACACCACTACTGTCGGTTCGCTGACAGATCCCCCAATGTTCCCAACCAACCAATTGCGGAGTCTTCCGGAACCCAACCTGGAAGACACATGACACTTACTCTACCTAAGGGTTCTGTGCATTTCTTCAGGCCTCGTTTTTTCACGGCATCTGTTGGCCTCCACGTGGCTTCCTAGAGCCCTTAGCGGCTACAGTAAATAAGGTGCGATGGGGTAGATGGTAGCTGGGCATACGCAATAAGTGCCCTAGCTAGTGAAGCCTATTAATCTAAATTCGATGTGCCTGACAGACTTCCAAACACACGACGGCTTACCTCTCAGTTACCAACGCTCTCTCTCTCTCCATCCGACGTGGGCTACACTACGTAAACACCAATAGTCTAAAACCTCTAGCTGATGGATATCTTCTACTCGCAAATTCAACGTCGCACAACCATAAAGCAGGACTGAACGAACGGTAGCATAATATACACGACCTTTCAACTTCAGTGAGACGTTGCGTCTACTCCCAAGGAGCTTCAGTCCTGCGTATGCTGCTCGAGCCTTGGAAATGCGAGCGGCTATCTCCTTTGCTGCGCTTCCGTCATTGGTCACACGACACCCAGTCTTGCAGCATCACTTTGCATTTGGAAGGTGCAAAGCACATACCCGACGTGGCAGCTGCACTTGTTAGTCTATCAAGTGCACTTTGCGCGTCTTCCAAACATTCAAACAGACAGACGATGTCATCGGCGTACTCCAAATCTTACCGTTTTTCTCCAGCTGTCCATTCAATTCCTACGTTTTGGAGACCATTAAATACATCATCAAAGTGTTTTATTTCATCAACTTAGTGTTCAATCACTCGGGCGCTGATTCGATAAAACACCGAGTACAATACAGAAAATTTCTGTCATGCGAACAAAGCTATTTCAGATTCGAGTCGGACTACAGCTGTCTTTCACTTTATCGGCTCCAGCTCGCGCAAACATTCGCCTTGTAAATCAGTGTGTCAGTTTAATTTGCTTTGTTTTGTTAAACATTCAGTTGAACAGTGAAGGAATATATGGAAAAAGCAAAAAATTTGAGAGCCACATCGGAATATGTTTGGTCAATGGATGAGATAACTGCCTCTTCATTCTGTCAATACAGATGGTTTAGCATCACCATTGCTAAATTCAACTGAATTTGGTGAGTAAGAGAAGGAAGAGAGAATACAGTTTTTTTCTTCATAGATGCTGTTGGTATTTGGGTTACTGAAAAAAAATCTTGGTTACTTCACGTAGTAGTTAAGGATCATTGCTGAGATAAAACACATTCTGCTAATTTTCTCTCTCTCTCGAGCGGTAGTTAAGGGAATACCCATATTTCCGATTCACTGAGCGGTTATACTTTCGTTACGTCAGCCGGAAAGTGCATACCGTTTTAATTTTTCTTCTATATTTATCACCATATGCGTTTCCATAACACCTTTTTCGTGTATTCTGAACAAGCGTCCGAAACATCTCAATTTTCTATGCTATTGGGACAGAGCTGGTGAAATGACAGTACCGCCGAAACCCTTGATCGCAACTTGGTTAATATTCTTATGGTTTAATCATTTCTAGTTAATCTTGAAAAATGGACATCCAATCCAACACAACTACACATAAGCAGACCATATCTTGTTTTGAAGTATTATATTCCATGCCAAACAACTGGTACCGAGGAAATGCAAACAACACAGATACATGGTGGGGAGAGGAGACAAATACTTGCGAAGAAAATCACAGTTTAAGGACAGATGATGGATTTGTGATAATTAATGTTTGTGAGTGTATGTCTTTGTGTGCGTGGAAAGTGAGAGACAGACAGTGGTTGATCATAAACGGAGGTTACGTCACCAGATTGTTAGTGGATGGCCATGGTTAAGACCAATGTTCTTACAAAATGTTTCTGGGACCACAATGTGGAGACGGATGGCAATCGCCTCGACCGTTGACAAAATTCTGAACTTGATCTCTTTGGATAACCTACACTTGACTGTATAATAGAGAGGACGGAAAGCCTCAAGCACATTGACTGCGTGAAATATATGTATGCATTACCACAATCGCATAAACCAAGTTTTCCCAAAAGGACTACCTTGGTCACAATAAATTCTCTTCCATATAAAGCAGACAAGTGGTTGCCATGCTCAAAGCGATCAGTAATCACATGTTTAAAAGTAAAGATAGAGAGGAAACTCACTTTCTGCTACGTCATATTGTTTTGCGAGGACCGCGGGTGTACTTTCTGAATGTATGTAGTAAGTTATGTTATTCAAACCGGCTAGACAATTCACGAGCAGTTCCGTTGGTTCTCTTGGACATTCACATTCTGTATTGAAAACGCAAAATGAAAATCCAAAACTTTAAAGTTTATTGTATAAAAGCACATCACAAGAAATAATCCACTCGGCTGCAACATCACAATCACCATCGTAATGACCATAAAGAACCAAAGAACCATGATGAATTTGCACTTCTGTAAGTGGGAACGAGAATGAAAGGATAGACGCTGGTGACGCTAAAAATAAATCAATGACGCTAATAAATCCGAACTATATAAAAAGGAAACTGTGAGGAACGCCTCTGTCTATGATGTTCGTTGTACTCCAAGGCCATACGTGTGCATGCGTCTGCAAGTGAACTTCCCAGGTACTCTAAACTTACGGGTAAAAACAACCTAATACATATGAATATTTTACAGTAAGTAGTTTGTGGAAGGGCTTGAAAAAAAATTTCGTTGGAAGCACAATGATTTGCGGTTCTTGCCGCTCGTCAGGCGTATCCAAAATCGTTTGTCACTCCATTCATATACTTGCACCCAGGAAGTGTATCTTCGTCACAATAAACATATTTGAAACACCGGGTAAATTTGTTTATGTAGATATATTATAACTGGTGAACCAGCAGTCACCGTCAAGATCGAGAAATGGTACATTTTATTGGCATTTGACTAATAGAAGCAAAAACATAAGAGGATATTAGTACAGATATGTTGCGTGTGATGTGGGGCAACATCATATTCAATTCATTGGGGCTAGAAACACTAAGCGTTGGAAAAATCAAATATGATAAAATTCAGTGTGTTACACGAATTTTATCAACACGTGTGCGTAATTTGCATCCTGAGGAGTATTTTTTGAGGATTTGTTGTCCATCCGGGACTTAATTATTAGTATCATGCTAAATTATCAACCATTCAGAAAATCAAACGACAACCGAATGATCGTGTTACGTAATCAGTTTAATCGGACGATTACAACTATGTGATCCCCTTCCCAACCCAGGTTTATTTTATGTCTCATGGCTTTCGTTGCTATCCTGTGATCGAATACTAATGTAGCAGCTTGGCAAGGAATAATAGACAATAATTATTCGCTTCGTTGGTCTTTTCAACTTTGGTTCCAGGTGGTGCAGCCCGCCTATCAGATTGGGGCAGGAGGGATGAGGATTACTGTTGGTTAGAGACACAGAGATACGGCCTGGAAAAGAAGCCAGTGGTGGGAATGCTGTACGGTCTGCCATTGAAATTTCGTGAACCATAAGAAATTAAACTAATACAAAAATATCAGAATATCTACAGTGAGACAGACAAAAAATTGTTATTTTCTTTAATCACCTTTACTGTGTGACCCCCTTTACCTTTGCTTTGTATCTGAATCACCTCGTTTTGTTTTATTCTTGTTGCGTTGCAACCAGGCTTGCAGGGAAGCCGGTGATAAATATAACATTTATTTGGTATAGCTGACTACCGTTGCATCATATTAGTGAACATGATGACCAGCCATAAATGCAGTTAGAATGACAGTTTTATAAACAACGGTGTTGACTGTTTTTTGCCCGAGTAGTTTAATTTGCATTTGTATTATATATATATATATAAAGCTAAAGAAGTGATTTTCGGGGTCAAGTGTTTTGGGCAGTACGGAATTAGGCATCAGTTTTCATTAACTCACCGATAAGATCTAGAAATAGATCGAGACAATCAGTGCTCACCACCGCAAGTTGACCAACAGTCTCTCCGATTGCTGAGTTGGCCAGTATACGAACCAATTTGTTTACCATTTCAAGACAGGACTGATGTTCGAATATCGACGTAGAGACGGTGCTGAATGCTGAAAAGAAACCCAAAGAGATGTAACTGCTGCAGCTTTTCAGGCATATCACTTGAATTGAGCTTAGTTTAAAAATCCAATCTCTGGAGTGCCAAAATATACAGGCTTATAAATTCCGAAACCGGTTCTATTTGATAAAATTTAAAACCGAGAGGCAAGTTGATGTGAGATATCACATCTATCAACGTTTTTCTATCATATCTGGACCTCAGTGTTTATTCAGCATAAAACAATCAATGCTTTTTTCAGTTTATTTAACAGTTGGAACCCACGTCTTTAATCCTGCTGTAGGGAAAGCCACTAATATTGTCAGAGCTACCAATACGATGGTGATGATCAATAACTCCAAGTTGCTACGTTCGGTGCATCGGCGTGTAAGGCTGTAAGTAAGTAAGACACATGCTATACCAGTTCTCATTCGGTGCTAGAAAGCTATGGTATTGGCTATACTTCATATTTACGATTCGACTCCAACGAGATCTGCCACTTCAGATTTGGGGGCCAAGTGTCCTAACTGGAAAAATTGAACAATACTGTCTCCTCAAGGTATTCTACATTAGACTTCATGACATGACATGGTCCGAAATGAGCGAACGCAATTTACGGTGAGTAGAGAGATCGTGCATTTCTAAAGATTTATGAAAACCGAGAAAAATGAGTAAGCAACTCACGGACGGTAAGGTCACTCCAGGCATCGCGGTAGGTGATATTATTCACATCATTGTCTTTTGCTTCTTTTAGGATCATTCGATGGTAATCTCGGCACAGGCCACACATATCTGCTAGGGCCAGTGGATTCGGAAAGAGAGCTTCTCGTGCACTATCCAACCTGGCGGTTAGATTTCCAAGCAAATAGGCGATTCGAACCGTCAGATCCTGAAAGAATCATAAATTTAGGGGTGTTTGTATAATAATCGAATGGGTGAGAATGAATACATCTTTCCCTCTCCATTTATATTTTTTTGAAACTGGAATAATAACGGAGAAGCAGAAAACACAAAAGGCCTTAGGAGAATGAGAACGGTATGTTCTGTTTCTATCTAATGAAATTTGACAAATTATTTCCCCCACCAAAGTGTACAGTGTCACACTGTCAACCTTCAACCACTTACATAAATCCGGTTGAAATGGTTTGGTTAGCATGAAAATAAAAGTTAAAGCGCTATTGAGAGCTTACTTCAAAGACAGATGTCAGTTAGGGTAGATAGAATGTCATTTCGGAACACCAAAGCCAATTTCCTTAAATATAGACTATGGCTTCATACTACCTACAGTTATTCGAACGAGCGATTAATTATAGATACATCGAGATGCCGATCGCTAAAACTTGAGCTTAGTCTCACACAAAAAAAACAAGTTTAACGCGACAGGACAGTGTAGTTCACCAAGGAGCCAACTTTTTAAAGGTGTTCTAGGTTACAGGCAATTGGAAATCCTGTAGTAAAACGTTCAATCTGACATGTCTGATTTTACGTTACATCCCTTAAATTCAGTAGTCAGTGTTATTCGCAATCCAGCTGAACTCCAGACTAGGACTGATTCAACCATAAATCATTTATCTGTGACACTGCTTTTATCGGTAAAGCGCTCGTGATATTGCTACAGAAATATTGGCTAGAAAAGAACCATCCTACAGTGCGAGACGATGGATGATTTGGGCGAGTTTGGCCAACCGACGATTTGGGCGACTGATAATATTATAAATAAACAACTTTACAGCATCTAAGAAAAAGTCAGTTCTTTGAACAAAGTTGGAGTGTTATAAAGAGTCAAAGTAACAAAATTTATGGTGGTTATAAAAAAAATAACGTGTGTGAAGTTTCGTACGCACAGATGTCAGTAGCAGTCCGACTGGCACACGTAAATACGATCCACCTATCAAATCGCATGGTAATAGAGGAAGCCGATTATCAAAATGGTTGGTCCATGCATATTTATAACAATAATTAGTCAGCGAAGTTCTTTTTTACCGAACTTACCACATCTTCTGTATTGGATTGAATCATCTGAAAAAACAGATTGCATAATAAGAGTATTCTAGAGGTTCCTTTATTCTCCGATTGCAAGCTGCTCTTCTCAGTATGTAAGTAATTCGTACAACTGCTAATCAAACTTTCCGCAGATTGTCCGAGTTTATCCACAACCCATTGATCTAGCCGAAGGCATGTTTCCGTGTATTCGGTCAGTCTGGCCAGAAAACGAATCCAGTTAAACTGGGCCAAATACTGCGCACTGGATCGGGCGCAAACTATTTCCGGATTGGATGGAGTCATTCGACAGAGCAAACAATCAACCACGTGGTCCAAAATACCGCCTGTGGATAACAGTTTCGCGCGAATTCCCAGAGTGCCAGTAAGATTACAGAAGATATCTGATATCTGAGGCATATGGGAAGTAGATTTAAGGGAACGCGGTTACTGCTATGAGGTCTGAAATTCGAAAACGTTTAAACGAAAATGAACGCCGAGCATTTCATCCATCATAGAGACAGAACGTGAATTAATCTATCAGAGAACACGTTGTGTTATTGAAATATAAGCGCTAATTTATTATTATTATTATGTCATGTTAAAAGACGAACAAATGTTTTTAGTGGTTTAGTCACAGATATGAACGAAATACATTATTCTCACTCCCACCTTCCGTCCCGATCCAAACGGACACTTGTGACTTTTGACTGAATTTGAAACCAAATCTTAGCTGCGCGAAAGACCGGTAAAATGACGTCATGAAAAATGATACTTTTTGAGCGGACGGTAGAGTTCCTATAACCATTACATCTTACGTAATCTACCAAGTTTCAAAATTGTCTTCCCAATTAAGTGACCAAGTTCTCCATGTATACATTAGATAGAAAACCGAACCAAGTGATCCAGGGCAAAAAAGTGGCATCAAGAAATTAAGATTTCCCAGGATATATGTATATCTATCTATCTAGCAACAACGAGCAAGGGAGGTACGGGGGGGGGGTTAGATACAAAGCCGAGTGAGAGGGGTTCAAAAAGTTAAGATAAATGATGAGAATAACAATTTATTTCTAAAACGTTTGGATGGTCCCATAAAATACATTGAGAACGTCAACAGCGTGGAGAAGAAGCTCATTTTTTGTTGCTTGCAATCATGTTACTACATAAAATTAAATATAACCTACAACATGGATAAAAAGGAAATGAGAATTTCGAGTCTTCATGGTTCAGTTTTGGCTCCAAACACAAAAGCAAACACGTTTTGAGCCAGAGCTGACCCACTGAGACTCGAATTTCTCATCCCCTTGTTGTTCGTCAAATTTAACGTTATGTAATGGGGTGATAACGAATAACTGAAAACGAGCTTTTTCGCCATGCTGTTGTCGTCCTCAATTTTTCGTCTGTTTTACCGTACAATTTTTGATATTTTTTCTGCGTTACTTTATCGTTTATCGCTATACTTACTTCTCTTCTGGGCCATATAATCTTCGTCATTATGTATTGGATTATATCACAGTTCAACTTATTGATGCAAGGATAAAATTTGACAATCTATTTGTCTAAAGTCTTTATGGTAACTACTACGTAATACAGGGGGTATACATGAAAGCGAAAACTGATTGTTATCTGGTCGATGGACACAGTGGAAATAGAGTACGAATAACAAAAAGGGCAGTGAACAATGAAACAGCAAGTTGCCATGTCAACCCGTTTTTTATTTGTGTTAGTAGTCGAACAGACACTCACACGAATGCCGCCGAGTAGAGGAAAACTTTGAAACAGTTTGAAATTTCCGTTAATTTCTAATTTAGAGGATTTAAAATTTCTGACGGACGATACAAAGACCAGAAGGAAAATTACCGAAATCGCCTTCACCAATTTAATAAATGCGCATCATTAACAACAAAGTATCGATTTGCACACAAGGAAACGGGTGACTACAGAACATCCCAAGAGACCCTGAGGAAAACAATAAATTCATACCTTCCAAATTAAACGAAGGTTCGAAATTCACAGCAAAGCGAATGAATGAAATAGAGTTCAGGCTGTCATAAACGTATCCGGCCAACGATATCTGTAATCCCCAGATTCATTTTTAGCTTTTCCAACCATTAACCGTGCACTTTCAAGCGCTGGTTTCGGTTGCTGTCTCATGACTTTCCGTTGGATGAAGGAACATGAGATTGGCCGCTTCCCCCTTCCTGAAAATTGCGTTAATCTATGTTTAATAAAAGTAAAATGAAAGAAAGTGCCCATGTATCAGTTTCCGAGTATACAACCATTGACTTTGCACTTTCGTTCCCGGGTCTGGTTCAACAGGTGGCAGTTGGCCTGAAATGCAGAATGATTTATACAATGACGTCTCTTGATTCCTGCAGAATATTCCTTCAACGTTGGAGCTACCAGCCCTCTAGTGGGATAACTGATACAATCAAAACGGTGCAGGAGAGGCCCGCATGCAACCCCATCTAACCGCATAAACAAAGGACACCGCCCATTCTAACTCTGCACAGAAAACGGATTAGACCGATCGGAAAATTTACAATCTTTGATCAACGGATGCGACCACATTTGACAGCATTCCATTAACGTATTGAAAATATGAATTTACGTACAATTCTATAAATGGTTTCGCAGATAATTGCCCTCTCTTAAAGATAAGCGAATGAACTAAAATTGGCCACCGGTTCATCGCTGCTGCCTAGCAGCCAGTGCTTCGTTGAGTAAAAGCTAGAGTGCACCCTGTAACAAGATCTCCTTTGAACCGAGCGACTGAGTGGTACAATAACCCACTATCATGAACTTTCCTGTTCTTCTGACTGTGCACTCTAAAGCTTCCTCGATCAGTAAAAATAGTCTACTCGGTACACACCCTCATGTTTCCCCATACTTCGTCCATTTTGCCTTCACCGCACTGACATCACCATCTCTATCGGGTCCTGCAGACGGTAGCACTACGAGAAGTGTCTCAGATGGAAATTTTGCAGCTGTTTTTTCGTGTCCTACCTCTACTACCGTACAAGTATCACCGAATCCTCCACCAACTGAAGTCATTCTTCGTCTCAGACGTCCATTCAAACACGCCACGTTTAATATGCGCAATATGATGCGTATGAGACAACAGACGTGTTAAGCTCGTACGCTCGAAATCCTAGCGATCGATATGTGTTGTATCCAAGACTCCAGCTGCATTTTCCGATTGACGTCCTCATAAAACAAGTCCACGGAGTTCTACCCATGATTTTCTGGAGACCCTGATGCCGCGGCTTTGGCGTGG